TATAGAATGTCAGTCTGTATTTTTTTTTTTACTTACGGTAGTTGAATTAGTATCGCTCTCTTCTACCAGTCTCTCTTGACACAAGTTTCTTAATTTTACTTCCATTCAGAGTATGACTACTTTTTCCGCCTCTGTCACTGTGTTGAGACAAGTAAACTTGACCTGTTTTGTGACATCATATTTTGTGGCATGCCCAGGCTGCATCAAGCTCCCTCCAGCGGCTGACATGCTGGACGACATCAAGTATAAGCAGGAAACCATGGCTGACAGGTAAGATGAGACAAAAATAAAGCCCATGTGGCACCACTTAAGGTGGACTCACGTGTTCTTCTCCACCAAAGTCATCTATACAGTTTTCACATCAAAATAGTACAATGTGCTATAAGTCCTGGATTCTTGGGGTTTGGCCATTTAGTAAGTTGGCCAGCATAGTGGTATCTTGAATTAAGTGTCAAAATTTACCAGCAAGGTTATGATATGCCAGCTCTTTTTTATTTGCTTTATTAAAATCCGATTGCCGATTTTTGCCAATTGTTTTTTTTTCTTTAGACATTAACACATTACAACATAAGATAAAAATAATGACCACCCCCCAAAAAAAATCATCCACTTTTTGCCAATTTGACTCTCTGTTGTAAAGTTAAACAAGTTATTTTACTCATTATATTGTTTTTTTCATTGATGGACCAATTAATTGGTCATCTGAATTTTATTCTCCCAATTAGTGGAATTGGCATTGGTTGGGCACTAGTTTTTATTTACCGGTAATCTCATTTTGATTTATTGTGTTTTTCAAGACAACACAGTGCCAGTTTTCATTATTAAAACCGCTTAACAAAAAAATGCTGTTTTGTGTAGCTGGTTCATTCATTCATTCATTCATTCATTTCAATGGGGAAAATTGATTTTATGAATTGAGTTATAACCAACAAACTAACTGGTACAAATTTAACTTGTGAGTCAAGGTACCACTATGGAAGCACTGAGATGTTTCTCCTGTTTTTCAGGTATGTGAGTAGTCAGAGACACACCATCCAGGTGGACTACATGAACTACATGGATGAGATCGCGACGCCTGTGGGTGTGCGGCCCAAAATCCTCCGGGTTCTGTTGACCGACCCGAGGCTTGGCCTCAGCTTGCTCTTCGGCCCCATCACCCCGTACCAGTACCGTCTGCGCGGGCCCGGCAAATGGACCGGAGCCCGTCAGGCCATACTGACACAGTGGGACCGGGTGGCCCTGCCCATGCAGACCCGACCATGTGACCAAGCTAAAGCCAAATGCTCTCTGAAGTGGCTACTTGTTGTGTTGTCCACCATGGGCGTGGCTGTGTATGTGAACAGAAGCAACCTGGGTGCTTTACTACAAAACCCCGACACGCTTTTGGACAGGGTCAAGATGTGCCTGACCACACTGGGACACTGAAATAAATATAAGTGGTGATACACATTTAAATCATATAATTAATTCACTTGGTGAAAAGGAGATACAAACTGAAATATCACGTTTGGTGAAACCATTTTTTGTAGGACTGAAATTATATCCACACTGCGTTTTTTT